GCTCAGGGTGGTGTGCTGCCCAACATCCAGGCCAAGAAGACTGAGAAAGCTAAAGAAAATCCAGCGACTGTCCTCAACCAACTAACGGATCTTTTAAGAGCCACTCACAACCTCTTAGAGTACTCTTGATTAAAGTAATGAAACTAAATATTTAATCCATAGGTGTCAAACTTATGTTCACACTAGAACTGAAGTGGGCCTGTTAGTCAGTGTGTGCAACACATTTAGCTGTTTTACTACATGAATACAAATCTGACTGACTTAAATTGTAAAGTTATCACCCAAACCTTTGTTTTATAAACCTGCTGTAAAAACAGAAATCTGTGTACTAAGAGCATAAACATTCTCATTGTTTGTACTTGCACTAAAACTTAAAAACAAGACAGCTGAGCAGGTTAAAGAAGTTCAGACTAATAATAATTATAGATCACTACAAACATGACTAAAATAATACAATCACAGAAGAAAGCTCTTAAAAGGAGGTGTGTGGCTCTTAAAAGAGCCGTTTGGTGGATTAGGGTGAAGGAGTTTAACCGCCCAAGCCGTACAGAGTGCGGCCCTGCCTCTTCAGAGCGTACACCACATCCATGGCGGTCACAGTCTTCCTCTTGGCGTTCTCCGTGTGGGTGACGGCGTCACGGATGACGTTCTCCAGGAACACCTTGAGCACACCGCGGGTCTCCTCATAGATCAGACTGGAGATACGCTTCACTCGGCGAGCCAGACGGCGGATGGCGGGTTTGGTGATGCCCTGGATGTTATCACGGAGAACTTTACGGTGACGCTTTGCGCCTCCTTTGCCGAGTCCTTTGCCACCCTTGTTTTTTTTTTTTTTTTTAATCACTTTATTTAAATATCAAAATTCACAATTACAAATACACATAATGCAAGCACCATGCACAAATTATTCACATCTTATTTTACATATTACAATAATAAAAGCTCCCACTGTAAGTCATTTCCTAACTTCATATCTCTCGTTTTTCTTCTTCTCAGCTCCGTTACAATGTTTTTACATACTGTGAAACTACTTATCATTTTTTGTTCTATAACACCTTTAGCTCTTGTTTTCCATATGTGGACATTTATAATACACATCACCAGCCAAAACAATCTTCTTTTATTTTCACTCATCTTTTCTTTAAACAAAC